TATATATATATATATATATATATATGTACGTATATATGTACGAGGGTAGCCTAAACAATTTTTAAATTTGAATATGTACCTACAATTGGATAAATTATATTTTTGAAATCCTCCCACTGATCAGCTGTATTATTATTTAAGAACATTGCCCGTTTACAACGTATCATTTAGTTGAGCCCCACACTACTGATTACATTACTTCATTATCTTCCCTGTAGACGGTGTCTATAAAAACCTGAAGTAAACTTGAATCGATCCCAAGTGTTATTTCAGACTCGCTAATTGTCGGTACGTGCGATCGGAAGTGAATCAAATTATTTCCTACAAAATATTTACTAGGTAAATGAGAATCTGGAAAAGGATATATGGTGCATGTGGATTACAAAATTTAATTAAATGGAATTTGAATCGTAATGAATTAAGGCATACTTATAATGATATTTCGGATAAAATATTTATATATTTTTAATGCATTTTTTGTACAAACATAGGTAACAGAAACTAATTGATTTCTGAACGTGATTTATTTCATTTAGATTTCATTCAACACTTCTAAATTCAGTTTCAATATATAATATTATTTGCTCTGAATATCAGATTTTGAAGAGCTTTGCTTATCTTCAGTTAAGTAGTTTTTACAAAGTGTCAACACGGTATGAATTTGTTTGATAAGACCGAATAGTATATTAGATAAGTTTTATTTATTTGTTTACATGAGTTTGCTAAAATTTTTATTAATTGTGTAAATTTCATTTTTAATTAAAAACTATATCAGATTATATGATTTATCTCAAGGTCAATTTGCTTTGTAGACTCCTTATGAAATGGTTTTAACGGCCGCCCTGTTCGTGATTGTCGGCGCTCTTAGCGCTATTTATTTGTGGTTCCAACGGAATCACAGCTATTGGCAGCGCAAGGGCATACCATATATGCAGCCCACGCCCATAATAGGTAATACAGGGCCAGTGTTTACGCAGTCGAATTCCTTTGGCTTGCACATCTCGGCTGTGTACAGTGATCCACGGATGGCGAATGAGGCCGCTGTTGGCATCTATGTGATCAATAAACCTGGTTTGGTCATCCGCGAACCGGAGCTGATCAAATCGGTGCTAATCAAAGACTTTAATCGATTCACCAATCGCTATGGACGCACCGATCCACATTATGATGCCCTTGGCTCAAATAATCTGTTCTTTGTGCGCAATCCACAATGGAAGGAAATTAGGACGAAGCTGACGCCGGTTTTCACCAGCGGAAAGATGAAGCAGATGTATCCACTCATGCAGGAGGTGGGTGCTTCAGACTATCATAAAATAATTTTAAATTTAAAGCTGATGCGATCCACCTTATAGATAGCCGCAGATCTAGAGTCTATGCTAGCCAAGGAGAGGCCAGCAAACGAAGGCAAATACGTTACAGATATCAAGGATGTGTGCGCTAGGTTTACGACGGATTCAATAGCAACGATAGCGTATGGTGTGCGTGCGAATAGTTTGTCGAATCCGGAGGCCGAGTTCCGTAGGCAAGGCCGTATGATTTTCGCTCCGACACTGGCGCGCAGCAAGGACTTCTTTGTCGCCTTCTTTTTGCCGAAGCTGGTGTCGCTGATGCGCATCAAGGTGTTTCCGGACGAGTTTTCCAAATTCCTGCGCGATACCATTGGCCACGTCATGGCGGAGCGAGAGCGAACGGCGACGGTGCGCAATGATCTGATCGATGTGCTCGTGGGCTTACGCAAGGAGGCAGCCCTGGAGCCGGGCAAGCCGCATTTGGCCAACGACAACGACTTTTTGGTTGCTCAAGCGGGAGTGTTCTTCACGGCGGGCTTCGAGACGAGCTCGTCGGCCATGTCCTTTGCCCTGCTAGAGCTGGCCAGGCAGCCGGAGTTGCAGAAGCGACTGCGAAAGGAAATCCATGAAGCCTTGCTCGAGGAGAAGGATGGCAAACTGAGCTACGACAAAATCCATTCACTCGAATACCTATCCATGGTGGTGGACGAGGTGTTGCGCATGTATCCAGTTCTACCTTTCCTAGATCGCGAGTATCAGAGCATTAAGGGAGAAGCGGATCTTTCGCTGAAGCCCTACTACGACCACAAACTGGAGAATGGCACGCCCATTTTTATACCCATCTATGCACTGCAGCGAGATCCTAAGGTAACTTTTTAACAAATCTCACAACAAATTCTAGCCTAATCACTCATCTGTTATCTAGTACTGGACCAATCCGAATCTGTTTAATCCCGATCGCTTCTCGGCCGAAAACCGCAAATCAATCGAGCCCATGGCCTACCAGCCCTTCGGCCTGGGACCCCACAATTGCATCGGCAGTCGAATCGGAGTGCTTCAGACCAAACTGGGGCTGGTCCACTTCCTCAAGAACCATTTTGTGCGCTCCTGCCCAGAGACCGTGAAGGAGATTGAATTCGATCCGAAGACGTTTATTCTGCAGCTGAAGACGGGCATGTTCCTCGAGATTGTCAACGATAGACTATACGATGCGAATGCTCTATGATGAAATGATTTCTGGCTTGGGCATTCTCTCATGTAATGCTGATGGTGCAGTTTATAGTTTTGTATTTATTTTTGTGATGGGTTACATAAAAAAAAACGAAAACAATTGTTATTTCACCTGTCCTCTGATAACGCAGTCTCGTTCTTTGTTGTAAATAAAGTGATTAAATTATTATTTAAACGCCCTGCCCCTGTCATTCAACTGACGGACGGCTGACAGCGTTTCGAGAATGCATCTTAGAGATTATTATTCAATTGTTTGATTAGATTTGTTGTGCCCAGATCAATTTCCATATTATTGTATTTGATGGGCATTAGAAATCGTTTAAATATCGATTTGATTTAAATTGCGTTTGTAAACTAAAATTGTTGCATGAATGCACAGTGCACGGCAAAAAATATATGCTTTTATATAAATATATATGTACATATGAATATAGATAAATATGTATAGAACCTTATTTTAAT